TCCTCCCATAAGTATAGTTCGACTAGAAATAAACAATTATTCAAGCATGCGGTTTTTTTCGTAAAAGTCTTTTCCTGAGAGTTCCCTCGAAGCGAATGACCTCCAAATCCAAAGTTAATTTGAATTTTTAAACCATATATATATATATATATACATAGTATACTGGACGCATATTTGTCGTGTTTATTTGTGTCTATATTGGGTATGGGTCTAGAGGAGCCACTTTAGCTATGAAAGAAATTAGCATCAAGAATTTAACGCAGACAAAGACGTAGTGAAAACATAATGATCTAAGAACTATCATCGATTATCTTAATCTCGTCTGGCTTAATAATAGAGAAACCCAAAATTGTTCTAAAAAGAGATGCATTCTGACTTAAAATGCATGATAAAATTCAATTTAAATAAAAATATTTTCAATCAAAAATTGAAACATCAACTAACAATGCTGAAGTGACCAAGCAATTGATAACCAACGAGCTCAAATAATATTAAATGATAGGTTTGCCCATTTAATCGTAATAATAAAGAAAAAATTAGCATTAAGTGATACTAGTCTTCATTGTTTTCCTCATATTAAAGAAAGCCCTCCAGTTTCTCAAAATAGAACCTTGAAATGTGCCGTGTTGTTCGGATCATAAGGCAGTAGCATTAAAGAAATGTAAATGATATTGAACACAAAATTTAATAAATAGAGAAAGTGGCACATCGAAAGAAGAAAAAATCCTTCGAATGTTGTGCATAAGAATAATAATATAGGATAATAGGGCGAGATAATCTAACCTAGGTGTAACTCTGAAGCTAGCATTTTCGGTCGTCTTGCCACCTGCTCTGAAGGTTATGCTATCTCCACCCTCTTCATAGGCGTCATCATCTGCATCGTCATCTTCTTCCCAGCGTCGTCGATCAGGTCTGCTAACTTCAGAGATTGACTGCTTGTCACCACTAGTTGCAGCTGTTTCTGTATCAGGTCTGCTTCGCGAAGTATCAAGTCGCTGGCCAAGGCTAACTTTTGGCCGTAAATTCTCACTCGAAATCTCGGATTTAGTGACCGAAGAAACCTTAAAATGAATAAAAGAGAGAATTTTATGATGAAATTATTGAATTCAAATAAAGATTTATATGAATTAATATTAAAAGAGCATAAGAACATTATTTTGAAAAAGTGGGCTTATCTAACTTCAGGAGCCAGTACTCTATAAAAGCCTTCTAAGAGGCAATTCACAATCTAGCAGGCAAGGAGTTTCTGAGATAACATGACCCCAGCAAATATATTGCATTATATCAGTGAATGATAATCCACAAAGATAGGTAGTACAAAAGTTAGCATAAAATATGGAGATTAGTTTTGGTGTAGAGATAAGCACAATAAAGACGAATTGCTAATGCCCAGTCCAGAAGAAAAAAGACATAAAATTTAAGTAGACTTAACGCAATTAGGTCATAAATTTTCTTGCGACAGGGAAAATGAACAATGAAATCAATCGCCAGCTTAAAGTGATCGCGGTCAGACTCTATATCAAGTAATGCGTACACTGCGTGATAAAACATGTACTTTTGTTCTTAACAAGATTCGCTGATAAGTCCAACATCAAAACATTATAGCATGTGACTAATCCGTAGACTCGAGTTCAAGTCATCTTCTAAGAATTGTGTTCGCTTGTCTAATTGATATCAAATTTATTAATACAAGCATTGAATTTAGGTGTTGGTGCATCATCTTGTATTGAAAAAGTATACATGTAAAAAAATCTATTTTTAATCTTAAGGTGACAAGATGCCAGACAATATCAAGGATTAGTTATAAGGCAGAAATAGGCAGAAATATAAATCAAGTTGAGAGTGTAGTTAGGAAAAATTCTCTAAAATATAGCGAATATATTCCCAATAAACTTTGACTAATTACGTGATTAAGTGTTTATTCAAAATAGACTTTAGCAACAATCAACGTAAGGTTTACTCGTATCATTGTGGGAAAATTCGACTACCAGCCCCTTATCACCTTAGACAAAAAAGAGTATATATTTCAG